CCCCCTTTATTCCCGGTTACGCAGCCGGGAATAGGAGTTCGGGAATAAAGGGTTAATAGCCGAGAATAGAAGTGGACCTTTAGTCCTAGTTGGTGATACCAACCAGGACTAAAAAGGTAGCCACGCCAGCGCCTGGGCTGGCCTCTTTATTCCCGGTTGGTATTACCAACCAGGACTAAAGGGTCTTTTTTCCTGCTTATTTCAATTGATGATTCTTTTTTGTTTTAATTTGGTTTTCAAATACGCATTATTCGTTGCAAAGTAATATACGATATCGCCACAGCGTCTCGTAAAGTTTTCGCCGATCAATGCACGCAAGCAACACAAGTAAAAGTAAACTAAAACATAATATTACATTTCATTTTGTCATCGGGGGATCCGGATCGAGGCACGGGGCTCTCCGGCCGGTGCGCCAGCGCCGTCACTAGGTCTACTCCGAGGCGAGGTGTGGGTGGCGTCCGGGATGCCCTCCGGTGAGTGAGGAAGAAACCGCGGTGGATTTTTACTTACGGGCCACCAACCGGGGTGGCCCGGAAAGCCCGTTGGTAACAAATCGGCGACATCGTGGGCGCCACGCCGGGGCTAGGCCGGGGCAGCCAGGGCTCCTCCTTGAGGGGCACGCTACGCATCGGGCTTTTTCAATCTCAGGTGGGAGGGCGTCCGGGGTGCCCTCCTGTGAGGAAAGGGACGGCGTCTGGGGTGGCCGGGACTAGAGGCGGTTCCCAAGAGTCGGCGGTGCGGCGTAGCGTGGGCCTTAGTGAAGGCGAAATCGGCGTGGCGAGACATCGGCAGCGCGGCCTTGAGGCCTCGGGTGAGGGAGTGGCGTGAGGAAGGCGGCGTCGGGCTACTCCGGCGGTGCAGGTGGGCGAGCCTCGGGGTGGGGACTCAGCGTCAGGCAACGAGGTATTAATCGGTGAAGTCACGTCACGGAAATTCAATTAAAGTGAAAAAATTACCAAACCAATTCGTAAAAATCTCGAACTTGGTGGTGGCTTCACACCTTGGGCATTTGAAACCACGATAAAAATTATGAGATCAATTAGGCACTAGAAAGCACATGGACCGTAAAATTCAAAGTATAGTTAACAAAAGAATATAATCAATTAAAGGGTCTTTTCTCTTATTAAATAAATGTTTGGGTGCTTTCTTGTCGAGAAAGTGACTTAGTTCGATGGCTAGTTAGTGCTTGCTGCTTGCTTGGACCTTGGCTATGAGGTCGTGGGTTCAATGCCTGGCTGCCCCATTTTTTTTTCAAGCGCGCAATATATTATTTTATCAAGAAAGATTTTATCCCGGTTATAGCACAGAGCCGGGACTAAAGGTCATCCTTTAGTCCCGGCTGGAGCCTCAAGCCGGGAGTAAAGATTTATTCCCAGTTGGAGGGTCCAGCCGGGACTAAAGGATAACCTTTAGTCCCGGCTCTGGGCTATAACCGGGACTAATTGTTGCCTGTCGTCGCCACACACTTGGGGCAGGAACTTTGTATCCTTGTTTGATGATACAACCGGGACTAATAGTCCCTTTAGTCCCGAACACAAAAATACCGGGACTAAAGGCAAAAATAGAGGCGGGATGAAAGGTCTGTTTTCTAGTACCAAACCACCTCAGAAAAATCTCAAACTTGGTGGTGGCTACAGATAAGGCATTTAAAGTCTTGAGAAAAAGTTTCAGTCCAATCTGGCACTAGAAAGCACATGGACCTCAGAATCCCAGAGAACCTAGGTGTATAGATAGGGCTCAACGAAAGGTTCTATATACCTCTGTGAAGCACGTCGACTCCGCCTATGTCAAAAAGGCTTAAAAAAAATTTGGCAGTCATTTACACCCAAAATATGGCCCCACACAAGATCTTAGGTTTTTCTGATAATTATTTTTATTATTACATTTTTCTTTGTGCCACGTGAGACGAAATACGGTGAATTACATATTCAAAACAATATAATTTTGCATCAACCTCCACAAATATTTGTCTCCTAGGGCACAAGAGACCATTTGGCAAAGTTTGGCACCATTCCGGATCTTTTCGGGGGTGGACTCAGTTCAACGTATAATTAATCGGTGAAGTCGCGTGGAAATTCAATTAAAGTGAAAAAATTACCAAACCAATTCAGAAAAATCTCGAACTTGGTGGTGGCTTCATATCTTGGGCATTTGAAACCCCGATAAAATTATTATGAGATCAATCGGCACTAGAAAGCACATGGACCGAAAAAATTCAAAGTATAGTTAACAAAAGAATATAATCAATTAAAGAGTCTTTTCTCTTATTAAATAAATGTTTTGGTGCTTTCTTGTCAAGAAAGTGACTTAGTTCAGATGATTAGCTAGTGCGCTGCAGTTTGGACCTTGGCTATGAGGTCGTGGGTTCAATGCCTGGCTGCCCCATTTTTTTGTCCAGCTCGACTATATTATTTTATCAAGAAAGATTTTATCCCGGTTATAGCCCAGAGCCGGGACTAAAGGTCATCCTTTAGTCCCGCTGGAGCCTCAAGCCAGAGTTAAGATTTATTCCCGTTGGAGGGTCCAAATGGACTAAAGATATAACCTTTAGTCCCGGCTCTGGGCTATAACAGGGACTAATTGTTGCCTGCCGTCGCCACACACTTGGGGCAGAAACTTTGTATCCTTGTTTGAGGATACAACCGGGACTAATAGTCCCTTTAGTCCCGAACACAAAAATACCGGGACTAAAGACAAAAATAGAGACGGGATGAAAGGTCCGTTTTCTAGTAGTGCATGGTGGTGATAACTGATAAGCTTGGCTACAAAATCAAACCCTTATTAGAAACCGTGCCCTAACATTGGGTAGAAAGTTGTCATCTCTTTTGGTACTAGTTCCAAGCGCGTTGTATTCTACTGGCTATTGCAATTAGCTATATTTTTTTCTCGATTTTAGATATTTACATGTTAATATTTATCTTGAATTGTGTGGGCAAGCTCTGCCATTTTAATTGTTTATTATGTGTTGAGGACTTCATGTGTTTATGTAGTAGATTTATTGCTATTTTTTGAGTACCTAATTGCTACTCCATCCATCGTGAATTATAAGTCGTTTTGGCTCTAATTTTTTTCGCTATATATATACCTAAATATGCGCTATGTCTACGTACGTATAGAAAAGTTAAAACTACTTACAATTTAGAATGGAGGAAGTACCTAGGACATAAGTGATTCAGTCGGGATTCAAAAAAAAAATCATATTCCTCTGCTTCCTATTATAAGCTATGTGTTTGATTCCTACTTATGAGTTATCATTATTGTCTACTGGCAATCCCACTCCTCCATTGATTACTAAAATTATCTATTGCTTACGATTTCTACAAGAAAAAGAAAAGTCAGATGTATTTTTAAGTTTGAACCGTTTGTCTTTTATACCACGTAAATTAAGGTTCCTGCATTAAGTCCCCAAGAGCAGGAAAGAAAGTAATCATGTTTACCACACCGTATGTGCATGGAAGTCCTACAAATTAGTTTTTTTAATGAACCATTCAAATAACAGTTTGCAGGGCATATTCTAATATTCAATTGCTTCCCCTCAGCCTTTTTTTATACGTTACTATTAGTCGTCTTCTAATCTTTTTCTTGCTTGCAGGGACTAATGATCTTACTATGGGTGCATCTGTATAACTCCATGCGAAGATATGCTATCAGCTACATTGGCAGAGATACAGGATTTAGTACATTTGTTGTGATAGTTGTCTCCGTACCTATGACCGAATTCTTTTGTGTTTTTGGCCAGATCACGAGTATACAACGGCGCAGATCGTTCCCGCTGAGGAAATAGTTTTATTTTTGGGTCTAGCAACTGGGACGAATAGCCATAAGCAGGCTAGGCTCCATCGTCACTAGTTTCATACACAATATAATGATCCTGCCACAAGAATTTAATTTCTACAGATTTGTCATTCAATTATTAAGGAGAGGGAGAGGGAGGAAAGTTGTATCATGGTGGTGGTAACTGATAAGCTTGGCTACAAAGTCAAACCCTTATTAGAAACCATGCCCTAACATTAGGTAGAAAGTTGTCATCTCTTTTGGTTTCAATCCTATCAACTAGCCTAACAACTAAGCTAGGAAAGTAAAGCACATAACCAAGGTAGCAATATAAATACGGAAGGTAAAGATGAGATAAAGATGCAAACTCTCGTCTACTGAGGTATCGAGAAGCATATAAGCTTTTCCCTAGTCCTCGTTGGAGCCCCTCGCAAGGGCCAAGCTCCCGGTCGGGTAACTCCATGGATACACTATGTGAAAAACAGTTTATAGCAATGGGACTTTTTTTTAGCTTTCACCATTCCCCCTCTCTCTCTCCCCTACAAATCGATGCGGGCGGCTAATGTCTACGAGCCGCCTTACAAATGCTGTGTCCATTTGTAGGCCGTCCCTACAAATTCACCATCCACGTCATTGAAATTCCTTTCATGGCCACCGTTCGTCGCCCATCTCTCCCTCTCCTCATCGCAAAAAAAAACTCCCATCCTCTCCCTCTCTCGCTCTCTCACAAGGCGAGGCTGCGCCTCCCGCGACCCGCGCCGCCAGCCGCCTCGCCCCGTCCCCCTCTCTCCCTCAACCTCTCTCCACGGGCGTGCGTGCTGCCCCCTCCTCCGCTGCTGCCACCACTCTCTCTCTCGATCTTTACACGGCTTCCTCCCACCGTGACAGTCCAGCGGCAGGCGCCGCGCCAACCGAGCCTCGCAGTGGCTCGCATGCCGCCACATCGAAACGGCTTCCCTACCGGTGCATGTGTCCGGGCTCGACGCCATCAAACCCTAGGTGCTGTGTTCGACGCCTCCGTCATGGTGGCCTCTTCCTCGGCGGATCGGCTTGGCGGCCAGATCTGGAGGTACCTCACCCTCTTCTTCTCTGTCTCATGGCTCGTCACCTAGATCCGTCCTCCGTCTCATGGCTCCTCACCCAAATCCTCTCTCCCTCCATCTTCCCCTTTGCGCAGTGCAGGACAGCTAAGGCTGAGGCACCGACCACTCAGGGAGGCAGCAGCCATGGCGGAGATCGCCGAGCGGGCCGTCGTGGGTGAGCTGCCGGAGGAGCCACGGCCGTCGCACGGTGAGGAGGAGGACGATGAGGAGGAGGAGGGGGATGTGTGCCGGATCTGCCGCAACCGCGGCGACGAGGACCACCCGCTGCGCTACCCGTGCGCCTGCAGCGGCAGCATCAAGTTCGTGCACCAGGACTGCCTCCTCCAGTGGCTCGACCATAGCAACTCGCGCCAGTGCGAGGCGAGGTAATAAACCGCCCCGCCCGGCCCTCACCCCCGCCGGATGGGGACGCGCTGGGTCGTTGCTTTAGGGATTGATTAGTTCGATTGCGTGGTGGAATCGATCGATTGAACGTTGAGCTGGTGTTATGGGTGCTGTTTCTTTGTTATGACTTGTAGATTGGGTCAAAACTATGTTAATAGGTGTTCATAATGGATAGGGCTATTATTTATGCCTTTTCAGTTGCTAGAATTAGGGGATTAGGGTTGAGAATCAGGACAATTGGATGGTTTTGATGATTATTCAGCTAGCAAAGGTATTTTCATAATGCTCCGCTGCTGTTGTGGGTTCAGAGTATTTTCAGAGGCATAATAATTCTGTTAACCCCCTCCAGTTTCATCAAAAAAATAATTCTGTTAACCTGCAGCGTCTACTTGTGCTTCTTAGCAGTGAACAAGTTTTAGTTGGTGGTTCCAAGCACAACTCTACGGCTGGGTAGTAATGTCTTGTATTGCAAAGGAAAAAATATACTCATGACGATGATGATGTGTGTGTCTTGTTTGTCTTCAGCTTCACCCCATTTTCTCTAGATAATTTCTGATTTATGCATATGTGCACTGCAGGTCTGTAAACACGCATTCTCCTTCTCACCCGTGTACGCTGAGAATGCTCCGACAAGACTTCCTTTCCAGGAACTGATAGTTGGTGTTGGAATGAAAGCATGCCATGTGTTTCAATTCATCCTTCGGCTTGCCTTTGTTCTCTCAGTTTGGCTCATGATTATCACGTTCATTACCTATTGGATATGGCGGTTAACATTTGTGAGAAGTCTTGGTGAAGCACAAAGGCTGTTCCTCAGTCACATCAGTGCTCAGTTGATCCTTAGTGATTGCCTTCATGGGTTCCTTCTCTCAGCTATCATTGTCCTTGTATTTCTCGGAGCCACCTCATTACGGGACTACATAAGGCATTTGCGTGAACTTGGTGGACATGATGCTGAGAGGGATGAGCATCCACAACACCAGGTATGGCTGTCCCTTCTCTTCCCTTCCTTTGTGTAAAACTTAGCACTGGAACTGGATATTCCTTTTTAGGAGAAATGAAGTTTTTTTTTAATTTAGTTTGATCCAACTGATCATTTTAAGTGGATGCTATATTACTTTCAGGATGAAATTAAAGAATTCATATGCTGGACTGGATCACCTGGAATTGTAAGGTTAAGGTGATGTACTTTAATCCACTAATCAAGTGTAAAACATGATGTATTATTTCCTGATTTACTCAATCCGTGCAGTTATGCCCATCTGTGCTTAATAGATGTCCTGCAATAGTACTCATAATGATTTAGTGGTGCTTCACTGAATGATGTAGTAGCGAAATATTAAATATATAATGATTTGTTGTCCTGCATGCATTTTTACATATATTTATAAATAGATTGCTTGTTTACTTGTAAGTGCCAGTACTTATCCAACTAGATGAAACACAAGTTGCTGCTTTGATAGTTATTTGCTGGTTATGAGCACATGCTGGTTATGAGGGACTTTCATTATCTTGTCTGACAGATCAATCAAAATGCTTCTTTAACCAGGTCAGTGAGGAATATATGATATACACAGTTCCGTGATTTAAAATAACAAGAATTGTCTCTTGTTTGTTCTTTTAACATGGTTATAATAACAAGAATTGTCTCTTGTTTGTTCTTTTAATATGTTTCTGCTTATTGCAAATCTAGCATTAGGCTGATGCTCTGTACATTTTAAATTGACAGATACTTAGTTGAGATATGAGCTTCATGCTTATGTATATCCATAATATATGTTCCTGATAGCGTCAAAGAAAATTCACAAGCATATTGATGCAGTAGACCAGGAATTGTGTATAACTTTAGTTTTGATTTGCACAGTGCTGATGGATAGCCACAAGGAGAACGATGCAATAGCGGAGCTCAGCCGTGCGATATCCTTCAAAGCCGACCTGCACTTGCTGCATCTCCGGGCTTATTTCAATGTTTGAATTATTAGTTCTTGATGACACCATTTGTTCTATATCAGTTTGTTTGCAAAATTATTTGGAATGCATGTTGGGACACCATTTGTTCAGTTAGATTGCATTTCTTATCCACCTGAAGGTTTGATGTGATGGTAGACAAAATATGCCATTGGTGATGATCTAGATCTTGCAAGTTTGATAGAAAGCAACTCCAGAACATACCATAGAATGCAGTTGAGATGATAGAATTAAAACGCAATTCCTATGAACATAATCATTCTGCAAGTTTATTTGTCTGTATCAACAAAAGTGGATGCCTCAAGTCTCATGATCCATTTGTGATAATCTCCATTAGGAACATAAATGTCAACTTTGTACTGTCACAAATTGTTTTAAAGTATTCTTTGTGGTACAAAATAGTTGGTGAAGAAACGTACTCGATCTGGCTTCGACAAATTTCTCCTTTCCATGTTATGCTCATAATTCTGCATGTCTTTGGCAGGCCATCTGGCCGTTGGAGTTTGAGAAGTTTGAAAACAAGTCAGATGCCATTGGAACTTCTGGTATTGATGACCGCATCACCAAGATGATCAAAAATTGGTATTGCAGTGGCGAGACAATTCTTGTTGGAAAGTGTGAACATAAACTGGCTATTGAAACAGAACTGGTCAGCCTTAGCACCCTTTTCTTGCTTCTACTTGGTGGAACATATATCAATGCATTCAAAATATGCTGTGTATTTGACAGAAAATAGCCTGCCGTTGTGATGAAGTTGCGTTTGAAGTGATGTGGGGCCTGGAAAACCACTTGCATATTTTAGTGCCTGATGAGGAATTAGAGCTACGTGAGGAGTGACCATAAGTATTGGAGCCAAGGATTGCATATGTTCCTGCAAAGTCTTAATTATAACATCGAACCAGACCTGGTGAGCACACTAGTCTTTACTGATGTCCAATGTTCAAATTTTCTGTTTTACTGCACCCTGTCATGTAAATTTATTGTGTGTTCACTTGTTCTATAATCCATGAATATCACCAAAGTTTATATTGTGATACTTCCTGGAATATCATACCAACTGTATGCTAAGCACTATGATATCAAAAAGGAAAAATCATCCATGTATCTCAGTATCATTTTCATGTCTTTCATGTCTTTGTGAAAGTGCTAAGATGAATAACGTGTTAGACAATGATACATCTTTTTCATGTCTTTCATGTATTGCTCTACACAGCATATAAATCTGGTTAAAACATTGTTTTGGTAATTTGATTTTTTTTGCGGAAAAATGTACTGTAGGGGCGGTTGGTATTGTAGCCGTCTCTACAAATAGGTATTATAGGGACGGCTGGTATTGTAGCCACCCCTACAAATCGATTTGTAGGGGCGGCTGATAACACCAGCCGCCTCTACAAATCGATTGGTAGGGGCAGTATGAGAACCGCTCCTACAAATGCATGATTTGTAGAGACGGTATGGTAGGGGCGGCTGGCCGAACCGCCCCTACAAATGCCCATTAGCCGTCCCTGGAAATCATATCTGACGTAGTGATAGCCCCGGGCCTTCCCCACCCGCAAGTGGCTCACCGGTGTGCCTTCTGGCAAGCCTCTCCCAGACCGCTCCCTGTCGTCTTCACTATCAAGCTTTCGGCTAAAACGCCATGGGCCTTGTTCCCTCCGGTAAACGATGGCGGCCACACCATAAACGTTGTTGGTGTGGTCTCGCAAGACTACAAGCCCCGCCGAGTACAACAATGATGAGCGTAAGCCTGAGTGGTAAGAGGTATGCAAACCTCACTAAACACTAAGCCTAAACCTAGAGCAAGCGCATGTGAGCATGGTGTAACAAACCTAAGCACTTCGTAAAGCACTTACGCTAATCACCGAGTGTATCACTAAACACTATGCATATGGAGAGCACTAAGATGGTGTAGCAACACTCTTGGTATGTTTCCCCACTCCTCCACACCTCATTTGCCCGGTTTGAGATCCTATTTATAGCCCCAAATATGGCCGTTGGGGGCAAGATCACCCTTTCTGCGGACCGTCGGACCGTACTTTGATGGGCCCGTGTGAATGTGTGGTTCGCTTTCCACCTTTGTTGGGGAGGGAGAGGCGGAAGTGCCTCCCTCCCTTCATGCAAAAAGGCCCAGCGCCTAATAAATCTGAGGACCTCCTTGAAAATTCATGAGTCATAAGGGGGAGGGAGGGAGATGCCTCCTCCCACCTCCCTTATAAATAGAAACTAAGGGAAAGGGGAAGGTGATCCCCAAATTCAGTTAGCTAGTCTTTAGCGCTTTGCCTGTCTATCTGTTTCCTATCTGGAAACTTGCCACTTCAGCCACACTCTCGTCCGTGCGAAGGTTCACGTACACTTGACAAAACATCTAGCGCCACTTCGTGGTCCGTGGCCCAAGCAGAGCGAGGCTACAGCCTCGGCTCGGGGACCTTCGCACGCTGCGGCCAACACGAAGCTATACTCCCGCTCTGCACAAGCCCACGAGGCCCGACTTCCGTGCCGTCTCGTCAGCACGTGCTGGCAAGGCAAGTGAAGGTCCAGCAGCAGCGACACGTGAAGACCCTGCGGCAGCGACCTGCGAAGGTCCTACACTCCGGCAGCAGCGGCACGCGAGGGATTCGTGGAACTCCTGTGCAACTCACGCCAAGCTCGGGTCGACCTCGCAGTGATTAGTGAGGGTTATCTAGACCGAGATAAGCATTCCCGTGGCCTTTCTATTTCTGTGCTAAAAAAACATGCATATCTTTTTCGCTGCAACATCGACTAATGTCCAGTACGCAACCTTTGTCGCGGCCGAGCGGAGCAACCCTCGTCGTTGCAGCCGGACTGAACTACCCTCGTCGCGGCCGGACAAAGCTACCCTCGTCGCTGCCACGCTGAGCTACCCTCGTCGTCACGGCCCTCGTCGCGGCCGGACAGAGCTACCCTCGTCATGACTCTTGTCGCAGCCGGACAAACCAACCCTCGTCGCGGCCAGACAAGAACCAGCCTCGTTGTGGCCGGACAGTGTCACACTCGTCTGCAGCTAAACAAGTACCCTCGTCCGGTCCCGGACCACCCTCGTCGACCTTCAGACGGGAGTGACCTCGTCGGCCTCCCGGCCAGGCGGCAGCCTCGTCGACCTCCGACCCACGCCGGGTCCAAGCCGTCCAGCAGGATCGAGCGCGCCCGCTACACCTTTGGCCGGCGCGCCAGCAGTACAAAGACGACGGTCTTCCACGCGACCACGCCCCTATGGCAGTAAAAGCTAAGAACAATCAGCCTATCCCGAATTTTGCAAAAATTTCATAAGCGCGTGGTTTCGAATCGAACCCAGGCTGAAGTGCTTGGCAACCTGTCCTAACACCGACGCACTAAGTATGCTTGTGTGCTTTTCTAGAGACCCGTAATTTACTTGTCCAGGTTCGTCATGCTCCTCCTGCAGCAAAAAAGGCTTGCCGATCGAGCGAAGGTGCGTCGAAGGAGCGCTGGAGGTATAACGGCCCGAGATCTGCGAGGGTCTCAGCTCGCCAAACTTGGCCAAAGATAAGTCACCCGGCACCTCCTTTTGTAAAGAAAAAATTCCACAGAAGTGCATAAGCACACATAATATATACTGAAATATTTTGTAGCTTACAGGCTCACTATACATGCGTAATAAGAAAAAATAATAATAAAAGCTTTTTCAGCATTTAGTCACTTACCGGCCATTTGTTAACCTCCGCAGCTTTATTACCTTCGAGTACACCATGCTTATTTTGCACAAGAACACCTAACTCCCTATAAGTCCCTCCTCGGCAAAGTCGTAATGCACGTCCTCCATCTTTGCACAATGTCAAAATTGTGTGCATGCTTTAATTGCTCGCTGATCGCTTGCTGTTTTATAGCCCGATAACAGTTCAACCTAACTGTAGATTAATCACTCACACTACCTGAAAATGCCTAAGTCATATTATGTTTGTAGGCTTCAAATGTTGGGCACCTTCGTGAGTTTCTCCCACTTGTATGAAGTTTATAACCTTTGTCCAGAGAGAGAGAAGTTGTATACATCTTAGATTATTTAAAGAACTAACCTTCAGCTAGTAAACAAGCTATAATTGCTCAGTGTTGGTCCCTCGCCTGCCCTGCACAGATAAGCAGTAAGCTTACCAGCCCACTCACTCACTATGGCTAGAGGTAGAAGAAGATATTGAGAACACCTCACACACACAGCACAAGCCCAGCGCTGGCCGAAAGCTCTGCTTCTGAATGTGGCAAACTGAACTATCTTCACTGAGTTGCAGTGGAAAACTATATATACAACTCTACCCATCTAATCCTAGTACAAAGACATATCAGGCTGTCAGGTTGCTACAGTGACTATATGTGACAGCAGGGATGACTTTGGCGCATGCCCTATTGTGTGGCTACAAGGTGCGGTGGGGGTCTTTCGGCCTTTGCCCCATGCATGCTACATGCAGCAACAACAGGGAAGCCCTTTCAGCGCCTACCCCTGCCGTGCGTACAGAGGGAGAGAAGCATATTACTTTATAATTCTTTCCCTAATCCTGCTGCTAACCCTATGTCGATCATCTTCTTCAGCTCCGTGAACCGAAGACGGCCGAGCGGCTTTGTGAGGACGTCCGCGAGTTGCCGACTAGTTTCGACGAACTCGATGACGATCTGCCCTCCATCGACACAGTCCTTGAGGAAGTGGAACTTGACGTCGATGTGCTGGCTTTGGTCATGGAGAACCAGATTCTTCACGAGGGCGATGGCGGGCTGGTTGTCCACCATCAGTGCTGGTGGGTGAGCTTTCACACCGGTCAGCTCGCCCAGCAGCCAGCGCAGCCACACAGCTTGGCACGCCGCTGTGGCCGCTGCCACGTACTTTGCCTCGCACGTGGACAGCGCCACCACCTTCTGTTTCAGCGACAGCCATGAGATTGGAGCCGACCCGAGGAAGACGAGCACGCTAGAGGTGCTCCGCCGTTCGTCGATGTCCCCCGCCATGTCTACATCGCTGAACACAGTGAGCTGCAGCCCACTTCCGCCGGTCTTGGGGAAGACGATCACCTGATCTACCATCCCCTTGACGTAGCACAGCAGCCACTTCACCGTGGCCCAGTGATCCTCTCGGGGATCCTCCATGAAGCGTCTCACGTAGCCCACGGTGAACGCAATGTCCGGCCTCATGTAAACTAGGTAGCGCAGACCACCGACGATGCTCTAGTAGAGTATAGCATCTACCTTCACCGCGGTACTAGCCTTCATCAACTTCAGCTGCTCCTCTATTGGAGTCACGCACGGCTTGCACTTAGCCATGCTCCGTTCCAAAAACTTTGAGGCGTACACGCTCTGACCGAGCGTGAGCGCCTCCTTCCCCTATCTCACCTCGACACCGAGGTAGTACGAGAGGGCGTTGAGATTGCTCATTCAAAAATGAGCCGCCATCTCGCCCTTGAATCTATCGATGTCCTCCGCACGTGCGCCGGTGATGATCAAGTCGTCCACATACACGCCGATGATGAGCTCCTCCTTCCCCCGTCGCCGCGTGTAGAGTGCATGCTCGGTTGCGCACCGCGTGAACCCAAGCTCACCTAGCATGGCGTCAAGCTTGGCGTTCCACGCTTGTAGGGCCTTCCTCAGCCCGTAAAGCACCTTGCGTAGTCGGAGCACCCTGTGCTCCGCTCCCTTAATGGCGAAACCCGAAGGTTTCTTGACAAAGACTGTCTCTGCCAGCTCACCGTTGAGGAAGGCCAATTTTATGTCCAGGTGATGGACGCGCCAGTCCTTCACTGCTGCCAAAGCCAACAGCAGTTGGATAGACTCCATGCGTACAACCGGCGCAAAGACTTCTTCGAAGTCGATGCCCTCGCACT